TTTATGACAACATGCGGCGGCCCCGTACTCTCCTTGATTGACTCAAGGGTTACCGATACCAACCAAAGTGCCACATCAATGTAGCTACTGCTTCAAACGTGTCGGTATACCCCGCATAGTTCCCTCATAGTTTATTGCTACTTACCTAAAAGGTGTCCCCAAATCCGGGTGTAGGATTTTTAATAGTAACCCAAACAGGTACCGAAAATATAAAGCATACAAGTCAAACAATGAAAGCAAATAGGTGTGATCTAACCCTAAGGTAACCCCACCTTTTTAGAATTATCTCCCCAACAGAGTCACAAGTTCTGTGATACGGTGGGAGAGCTGACTTTTTGTTTTTCGTTTGATCGCAAATGTTGCGGATAGCAAGAGTCGCCACCGACTTTTCTTTTATCCAATAAGGAAAGGTGAAAAAGCACAGGAAAGACCTTTAGAGATGTTTTCTTGAGTTCGGGAGGTAGATTATGAAAAGGGAAGGTGTTAGCACTCCTTTCATCCATAGTTTTCCATGAGCTCTTAGTTACTTGCTAGAACACTTGCTTTTACATGATGTGCTTGTGGTGCGGGTTTTGAAAGTATTTTGAAAATGTCTTTGTAATGGTTCTCGTCTCTATAAGAACACGTACAAAGTGTTGTCTTTTGAAAATGTTTCAAAATGAGAGTGTTGGTGTATAAAATGTTTTTTTATTGTGAGCAAGCGAGCAACTAGGAGCGAATCTACCTACTCAAAAGGTCTTAGATGTTCTTTTCCTCCTCCTTTAGATGTTGCTATCTTACCATTGATTTGGTAAGAAGCCTCATTGTTGGATGTGAAGGGACAAGCGTGGGTCATCGTATAGTTATAGAAGACAACCCATGGAACGTTTTAGCAATGTCGTTTTAGGGACTAGATCGTTTACCAAAGGCAACATCGAGGGTCATCGAGAGACTATGATCTTTTATCGAGGGTCTTTGCTAAAACGCCCATGTTCGAGGGCATGACTATTTTTCTGATAGGCAACAAGTGAGATTACCCTAAGGGTGTTAGTGTGCAAGTGTGTTTGATTTTCATGCATTTAGTCTTGATTTTTAGGTTGTCTATTTGTTGATTTCATGTCTTGCCATACACGCCCTAATTACTAGCATTTATATTTGGAAAGCGATAAATTGCGGGAATATAAAGTCCTACGCTATTACAATATTTTAGGGATGGGGGGGGGGGGGGGGTACATATTTCACAAATGGGGGGCTGCAAGAATTTAAATCCTATTTAACTATTACAACCATATTGAAATATGCAATGCAAGAAAGAAAAAGGACTTTATTTAGAAAATGGTTTTTTGTCTTAATGGATTTAAAAAGAGGAAATAAATTAGTTAGTAAAAAGAAAATATTTCCATATCTTTTTTATATAGATAAAAAGAGTATTAATAATGAAAATGATAAAAGGAAAATAAATGAAAGATAGAAACAGCGTGCTGCTGCAAGCAAAACAACAAGGATCAGAAGTTTTGAAGCCAGACGCATTGTGACTCAAAAAGGAACGTCAGTGGAATAAGAAGTTTTAGATTGATACACTCTAAGGCCCTGCAAGAAACGTTATAGGGAAAGGAAACAGAGGTTCTGGGTGGTATTCAGACAGTGAGCCAAAAGTCAGAAGTTTTGTGTTGTGCTAAAATAGTGAGTGATCATCAGAAGTTTTGTGTGTTAAAACAGTAAGAAAGCCTAGAAGTTCTGTGTGTTATAACAGTAAGAAAGCCTAGAAGTTCTGTGTGTTTAACGTGTAGGGAGAACTCAGAAGTTTTGTGCTATGCGAAAACAGTGAGTGAAAAAATAGGGGCTCTGTGCCACATTTCAACTCCTTCCTCATATTAATCAGCATATCAGCAATTTATCCAGTATTTAACAAACAGTAGGTCAGAAAGATAAAAGCACAACAGTTTATAGAAGTTCTAATCCTAAATCTGAGCCTAACCCTAATCAAGAAGTTCTGATCCATAATTTTTTTACTTATGAAATGATATGGACAACATTAATTGTGATATTTACATATTAATGATATTTTGAATGAAAAGATGCAAAGTCAGAAAGACTTACCTTGAATCTGAAATGTGTGTTTGGAACTTGAACCGCTGCCTTCAGATGTTCTGGAGTCAGCAAGAGCAACGAAAGAGAAAATGCCAAGTTCTTTGATTCAAAGGGAAGAATAAAGGTTTGGTTTTCTGTTTGGGAATTCTGGATTTTTTACGAAGGGTTTCACAGTTTTCTTTTCTCTCTTTTGATAATTTTCTCTCTCCAAAAGTCAGCCCCTTGAACGTGTGATGGAGTAAATTATTCATAGATGGGTTTGCTGTGGTTTTGGGGGGGGGGGGGAATAAACGGGATTCAAACCTTTTTGGTATACTGTTTCATTGCTTTTTAATCACAGTTTTCGTATGCTAATTTGGTGCAAATATAGGGTTTGAGAAAAATGCAGGCGTGGACTAGATCAGCAGCAATTTGGAGTATTATGGCAGCTGGTTGCAGGACTGTACTATAGCAGTGCAACAGGCTGTTCAAACAAGGTTTTGGGGTTTTGTGATGTTTTGATCGAAGAAGACCAGAATGAAACTCGAAGGGTGATGCTCTGATCGAAGCATATGCTGAAGAGTCATGTTCTGATTGAAGAACTATGTTCTGAACCATGTTTGCAACTTCTGACTGCACTTGCATGGAGGCTGGCTCAGAAGTTCTGAAGTATCATATTCTCTTAACACTTAGAAAATTTTCTAAATGTTTAGAAATTTGATTTTTTCAAAGTAATTTCTGACTTCTGATTTTTTTGATGAACCAATTTCATGTCTTGATTAAATATAATTGTTGAAATTTGATTTTTGATCTAAAAGTCAAAGTTTGACTTTTGACTATTTTGCCCTTGTGAATGATTTTCTTGAAAAGTTATAATTCAAGACTTGAAATTTGATAGGAGCAAACCTGAGGGTCCAGGATGATCCTTTGAGAAATGAGAGGGAAAATTTTGGGGTACAATACAAGTCCTTGTAGTTTGTTTATTCTCCACCATCAAAAGATGCTTCTATCACCTCTAACTTAGATTCCTTTCTTTCCTCAATCTATATTTGCGATTCTGTTAGTGTTTCTAGATTTTCCTGCATGATTTTCCTCATCTGACCCCCAAATCATCTCATTAAAGCCATGGAAAATGATGTCCAGTTGGCATCAAAGTTGTTTTGACACCAAGACTAGACCACAACATAGCAACACCTTTCATTCTCATGAATGCCCAATGCACTTTATTAGATGAATGGATTTTTTGCTCCAGAAAGAACTGTTTTGCTTTGATGATCAATCCAAAGGGGGATTTTAGCCACAAATTCAGGCAACCCTTCATCCACGAACCAATTAGAGGATTCTACCATTACCATCTCTAACACTAGCTCTCCGTTGTTAATCTGGTAATTTTCAGCCGTTATACAGAAGTTTCTGACAATTTTGGGCAGTTATACGACAATTATCTAGCAGTTTTGAGCAGTTACACGATAGTTTCCAGCAATTATCTGACAGTTTCTGACAGTTTCCAGTAGTTACCCAATAGTTTTTGACTATTTTCGATAATTATCTAATAGTTTCCGATAATTTCCAGTAGTTTTCTGATTTTAGCAATTCACTGGTTCCATCTCGGGATCTGGTAGGTCAGACCAATTGTTATGAATCTAATTCAAGAGATAAGAGAAAAGTATTATTAATGATAAAAACAAACTGTTACAGAGAATAAATTCTCTATAATCCTAGAACAAAGCTCCTCAAAGGAAGAAGAAACCCTCTTTTACCCAACCCTGAGGTTCTAATATAAACTGAATAACCCAACTATTTTCCTCTCACATATCTCATATACTCCTATTCACTTGTAACTTTCTCATTATCTCTAACCAACTTGCTAAGTCAGCATTTTTCCACTCCATTTGGGTCTCTTTCTCTAAATGGGTCTTATCAGATAAAGTAATATCAACAGTTTGAAGAGGTTCCAAAAATGCATTTTCGGAGACATTCTTTAAATGCATTTCCGAAATAAATTAAATCGTAAAATTGATGTATAACTAAAAAACAAATGAAATATATGTGTGTGGGATATTTCCAGAAATATATTTTTTAAATTTAAGGATATTTTCGAAAGTTCATACATTGCAATAGAAGGTTATAAGATACATTGAAAATTTCCGAAAATAAATCCCTAAAATAATGTCCCCCAAACCCACGTATAGGCCCAAATAAAACCGCTGAATCATGATTAGGGTTTTAATGACGTCACTCATGAAGAAATATTAAGCACAAACAAGGCTTCCATTGTCATTTTACTTTCCACAATAAAGTAATCCATCAAGGAAGCGGAAAAATCCACGCTTGGGGTTTCGATTCAATGGTGGCGTTTTAAAAAAAAAAAAGAAAGAGCTGGATTTGATTCCATCCATCGAGTCCCATTTTTTCATTTTCAATCATTTCCCTCCAGTTTTTCCACGCGCACGCTTTCCCATATCCAAATACAATTTTTATTTATTTTCAAACAAAAACATTTTATTAATTTAATTTCCATTTTCCCCCTCCAGCATAAAAGGCTCTAACTAATTGTCATCATTTCAAAAATCTTCTTTTTATTCTCTCCGTTGCTGCTGCACACTTATCTTCAACTAGGGTTTTCAATTTTCCTCTCCGTCACTGCGTTCCCAATCAGGTACCAGATCCGTTCCCTCGTTTCTTTCGCTCCACTGTGTCTTAGGGTTTTCTTTTCCCCATACTGCAATAGGTGTTATTAGTTTTATTATTATCTGTAACTTTTTCGTATTTGGTTCAGTTTCTTGATATTAACGATTTCGATAGCCGACCCCACTTATTGAGATAATAGTTTGTTGTTGTTGTTGTTGTTGTGGATATTGCAGTTCTTTCATTTTGGTTTTGTAAACCAGTTATGTTGCAAAAAAGTTAATGTTGTTTTTCATACTTGTTTTTTTCTAGGTTTTGTTGATATGGATTCTTCCGTTCCGTCATACCAACATCGGTCGCTTTCGATCAAATTATGGCCGCCTAGCCAGAGTACTAGGTTGATGTTGGTTGAACGGATGACTAGAAACCTTACTACTCCGTCTATTTTCTCTAGAAAATATGGACTTCTTAGTAAAGAAGAGGCTGGGGAGGATGCTAAGGAGATTGAGGAGGCGGCGTTTGTGACTGCGACCCAGCATTTTGAAGAGGAGCCCGATGGTGATGGGAGTTCTGCTGTGCAGATTTATGCTAAGGAGTCTAGTAGGCTTATGTTGGAAGTTTTGAAAAGAGGGCCGAGAGTGGAGGATGGGGAATTGGTATCGGAGAATGGTGATGCTAGTGTTGAAACTGTTTTTGATATTTCTGGGGGTCGTAGGGCTTTTATTGAGAAGGAGGAAGCCTCGGAACTTTTGAAACCATTGATGGGACCAAACTCGTTTACGAAGATATGTTTTAGTAATAGGAGTTTTGGTTTGGATGCTGCTCATGTTGCTGAACCCATTTTGATATCGATTAAAGATCAACTCAAAGAGGTGGATCTTTCGGATTTTATTGCTGGGAGACCAGAAGCAGAAGCAATTGAAGTGATGAATATATTTTCTTCTGCACTAGAAGGTTCTGTTTTGAGATATCTTAACCTGTCAAATAATGCCATGGGCGAGAAAGGGGTTAGAGCATTTCGGTCACTCTTAAAATCACAGAAAGACTTGGAGGAGCTTTATTTGATGAATGATGGTATATCAGAGGAAGCTGCAAAAGCAGTTGCTGAATTGATTCCTTCCACTGAGAAGCTTAAGATTCTTCATTTCCATAATAACATGACTGGAGACGAAGGAGCATTTGCAATAGCTGAGGTTGTGAAACGCTCCTTAGCTTTGGAAGATTTTCGGTGTTCTTCTACAAGAGTAGGCTCTGAAGGTGGAGTTGCTGTTGCTGAAGCTCTTGGGGCATGCACACACTTGAAGAAGCTTGATTTGCGTGACAACATGTTTGGTGTGGAAGCTGGACTTGCTCTAAGTAAAGTTATACCTGTGTTTGTTGATCTTACAGAGATATACCTCAGTTATTTGAACTTAGAGGATGATGGTGCTGAAGCCCTTGCAAATGCTCTGAAGGAATCTGCACCATCACTGGAAATTTTGGATATGGCTGGGAATGACATTACTGCAAAAGCTGCTGTTTCTGTGGCTGCCTGTATATCTTCAAAGCAGTTCCTCACCAAGTTAAATTTATCTGAAAATGAATTGAAGGATGAAGGTGCAGTTTTAATCATTAAGGCATTGGAAGAAGGTCATGGCCAATTAAATGAAGTTGATCTTAGTACAAATTTGATCACATGGCCGGGAGCTAAAGTGGTGGCTGAAGCTGTTGTTCAGAAACCTGGATTTAAGTTGCTAAATATCAATGCTAACTTCATTTCTGAAGAAGGAATTGATGAGTTGAAGAATATATTTAAAAACTCACCTGATGTGCTGGGTCCTTTGGATGAGAATGATCCTGAAGGAGAGGACATTGATGAAGAGGCTGAAGAAGGTTCTGATGAGGATGAATTGGAATCAAAACTGAAAGGCCTTGAGATTTAAGATGATTCAAAGGACTTTGGCATTTGATCCCTACTTCAGATTAATTTATAGGCCAATGATTATTTGCAATAGACATACTTGTTTTATAATTGAGCAGCTAGTGTTAATCGTTGTATTTTAGATTTCTGATTCCATAACTTGTCTTTTTTAAAGTTTACTAGATATATGCTCTTAATATATCTGGCGAATGATATTTAGCAGTAGAAAGTTTTGGGCTTTATTATTGCCTTTTGCTGCCAGCCTTTGATTGCTTGGTCATGCTTATGTTTGAAATTGATTTCATTAGCAGATTATTACCTTTGATTGCTTGGTCATGCTTATGCTTGAAATTGATTCCATAAGCAGATTTTTACCTTTGATTTCTTGCAGCCATAGTGAAATGATGTGAACCTGATGGATTTTGTGCCTATGGCGCCAACATGTGAAGTGCATCCTGATTGATGATTGTGCCGTAAGTTGCAATAAAATTTTGATCTTCTGTTACAAAAACTGTTATTAACAATTCTCAACATTGTTGGTTTGTGATCCTTATTTCCTGTTATCTAATCTTAAGGAAAAATCATTATTTCCTGTTACCTAATCTTAGCATCCTTTCATATACTTTCTTCTACCAGGCTTACTTGATACTATTTCCTCCATAGTTTGTGGATCTAATTTGTTTTTGGTTTTATTGGATTTCATTCTGTTGGTTTGTGATACCACTGTGATTGAATTTTTAAGGTTTAGTTGCCATTTCCTCGAAGCTTACTTGGTTTGTGGTTCTAACAATCCTCATTGTTTCTCATTCACTGTTTCTCATGGAGTATTAAACTCTGTCTGCCTAATTTTATCTGTGTTTGAATTTATAAGGTTTTTAGTTACGATTTTGGATTTCCTAACTGAGCTGCTCAAGCTTGACAGGTTACTTGTTCATGTCAATAAGGAAGAAGTAAACTTTCTTCAATACACATCATTTAATTAAATTGTGTAACAAGAAATCATACAATTTTGTCTGATCATTTTACATTTTGGACATATATGGATCAGACAGAAACTGGAACTTTCAAGGCCTCTAATATCTTATCATCTAGCTCAAATTTTATGGCCTTCTTGTCTCTCCCAATCTTTATGTACTCCTCAAACCGTTCTTTTAGGTCTTCTGGTAAGTTTGTGGTTGAACTCCATCCCAATTTACTTTTGGCTGCTCTAGGCTCAGCATAGAAGTGCTGCATTGTACAAAGTTCATATAAGTTGAGCAATAATTTTAATAACACTATGAGAGTTGCATATTTAAATCTTGAAAAATGCCCATGACTCAGAAATCCTTCAGTTGAGACATCACTGAGACATTACTGATGCATCTATAGGCAAATTTATGCGTTATAAGCAGCCATGTTATAATGTAAGTTAGAAGATAGGACAGAGTAACTACCACATTACGGAAAGGGAAAGCTTTCTTTGCATCAATTCCAATAGCTTTTGGATCATAATGAACAATGTTAACAGCACGCCCTGCTGCCTGAGCACATAGTTTGGCTATTCCATTTAGAGTCACTGCACGGTCGCTCACAATGTTGAAAATGCCATGACTCGCAGCATCTGGATTCTCAACAGCTAAAGTTAGCATTGAAGATAAGTCTCTAACATGTGATATGTTAGTGAGTTGCAATCCTGAGCCAGGAATTAGCACAGGCCTGTCCCTAACAATCCCTACAGATGGAAAATATACATTTCTTTTAGAAGATCTTTAATTTCCAGAGATAAAAAAACTTTGTACGAATTAAATGTGTAAAAAAAGTTTTTTTAAGAATTTCCCGACTTACTATCAAAGAACCATTCCTCGCAGTCTTTGTTGTTTCCAGACCCTAACATATACTGTGGCCTGAATACTGCCCAACTGTCAAAAGTTTCTTCAATGTATTTCTCAACTCCAACATGACCAGCATCTGCTTTGACAGCATCCTGCTCCACAGTGGTTTTCAAACTTTAGACTGTAACAATTGTTATCAGCATAGTGATTTTAGAAAAGCGATATTAGGAATATTTAACACACCCCTTCAACATGAGGAGGTTCATCCGTTGGTTTGTAGATTCCGGCACTACTGATGAACAAGAATTGCTTGGCACCTGCACTCTTGGCCCAATCTATCACCGGCCTACAAGGAACGATCGAGATTAAGATGTCTGGCTTAGAGATAACAATTACAATGTCTGAAAAGTTTATGTTTCTTTAACAGTATTGCAGTATGCTGTTGGCAATATGAAACATTGGCATAACATACATTAACACACGAGAATTCTAAACTTATGTTTGTGTTCTGTAAGTGTCGAACACAAGACATGTCTTTGATCTAAGAGTTGGTGCCATGCATGACATAACAAGATAACAAGTGAAGCAATGAACACAAGTTAACAAGAATTGATACAACGAACCTCGAAGCATCAAGATCCTTGCCATTGTTGTCCAAAACCACATCAAATGCTTCCCCTCCTACAGCACTTCCTACATCTGCAGGACTCCCCCATACTGTACTGCCTCCAGCACTCACAATTTCCTGAATATTTTCAAAACAACATTGTTGAGCTTGAAAAGAAGAATTCTTTCAGAAACAGTGTGAGAATAAGATTAAAGATCATTAACTGAGAATCTGTTAAAAGGAGGTTTCTTCATCTTATCTGAGCTTTCATCACCAACAGTGAGAATGGTGACAGAGTGTCCAGCACCAAGAAGCTCTTTCGCAAAGTAGAATCCAATCACAGCATGTCCACCGCTGTTGGTATTTACGATCAACACCTTCTTCTTCTCTGCTGCACTGGCACTGATGCTGAAGGTAGCATGGTTAGCAAAACGTTTAGAAGTTAAAGAAGGATGTGATGAAAAGGTTGAGGAGATTGAGAAAGAGGAGGATTGTAGTGAAGAAGAGAAAGAAAGGCGCAAAGTGGAAGAATGTGAAATTGGGAGGAGATTGGAAGAGGTTGCAGAGAAGAGCAAGGTAGGTGAAGAAGAAGCAAGCATGGCCATTGGTTCTTGAGAGTGTGAGAACCAGCAGTTCCAGATAAAGCTATAAAGCCAACTACTTACTTTCTTCCTTTCTCATTTCCAACACTTTGTAAGGGTTATAAACGTTACAAATATGTAACTGTGAATCATAAAGGGTAAATCAATATTAACTTTAGTTATACAAATAATAAGTAATTTGATAAAAATATATAATATAAAGTATTTAAAACTAAATATATTATTTTAAACTTATAAGTTTCATAGTGATTTTGAATTAATGATAAAGCTTATCCTTGTTTGATGAATTTGGATGCCAAAAGTGAGTAACTTTTTGGACTTATGTGAAGTGATTATTAGTAAGGAAAGTGAGAAAATTATTGACATTTTGGTCATTCTTCTTCTTATTATTTTTTTCATCATTGATATAGTCCGGTTCGGGAATCAGCCGTGGTCCTCCCTATCAAATTAAGCGTCAATCATTACTGAACTAACTATCATTTGTGATTTGGTCATCTTTAATTTATATACATTAATATAAATTTTTTGTCAAATTATTTTACACATACTTATAATTCTGTGTGCTTTTATGATTTTTTTTAAAATGTGCTATTTATGATTTGCTATAGTCATTAATTGATTTTTTTTTATAAATCAAATATCACGTTTAATCATTCAATTCGAGAAAAATCACAATAAATTCTAAAACTCTTCTTCAAAAGAGTTTAATGTCACTGTGTGACAGAGCTAAGTTTTAATACAGATTTCAAAATTTATGATTAAATTTTTTTTTTCTTTCCATCTCATTCGAGTGTTCTTACCATATTATTGAATTTCTGAGTGGAATGGTTTGATATTCCCTTAATTTTTTTTAAATGAAAGTTTAATTATACTATCACACTAATTAAATATTAAATAATAAAAAATTGTGCAAAAATTAAATATTGAATAAAATTTCATTTTAAAAAAATCAATGCTTGCATCCAATAAAATTTACTTGAGTGTCAGAATATTTGTAAGTATCATCCCTTTACAAGACAACGAAATACAACTTGGAGGATTTCATCACCACTTGGAATCACTTGAATTTGAGCAACTTCACAATCTTGTGAACGACTCTTTTTCAAGGAAGATCATCGACTTCATATGTAGGAATGATCTTCAACGTTCTACCACGTACACTGACGTCAAAATGGAAGCCAAGGAAAAAGAACAACTCATAACTCTAATTGTACACGATCCATCGTTAGTGAGGTTATAAGGAGAAACCACACTCTTGAAGATAGACTCACGTCATCTTCCTCACAAATGGAGGACCCAGTCCAACCTTCACATGAAATTAAAATTATCTTTGTCCCTCCAGTGAACGACAAACCTCAAATAGCAGTTGAAAAAAATTGGCACCGTGTCCATGAGAAAGCAGTGGCACACCTCAACTAACCACTAAGGTGACCCATACGAGAAATGCTGAAACTAACACCCTACAGAGAGATTTGCTTATGTAATTCAATAAACGGTATGCAATATCAATTTTCAATGAGAAACTCTTATGGGTTAAAACACCAAGCCCATACCATTTCTTGATACTCAAGCTCCACAATGACGTAATGACAAACCTCGGTGAAGATCAGGCAAATTCCTTATGGTATCGGTAACCCGAAGATCACTAGAGACACAAAACTTATTCCCAACTCATATGGAGACACTTCCCTTCAGAATCAGAACGTAAGGGAAAACTTCCAAGACATCATTGCCATCATCAGCGGCACACCTATCATTCCTCATCCTCTGATGTTTTCGAAATGAAACAATACATCTTCTTCTGGAACACTTATAATAGAAGAATCAACATGTATTCACACACAAGGAACTCTAGAAACTACTAGGGACAAGAACCTACAATGGGACTAATGACCCCAAGTAACACGTAAAACTTATTAACATTCTTATAAATTTTAGAGGAGCAAGAGGTTAAGAGAAATAAATTTTTTTTGTTCGCCCCTAAATGCATAGGCCATGGATTGTTTTCGGGGATTAAGAAACTAATTAATTATTTCTTGCAGATGGCTTCACACGTGGTTCTCCACTCATTTCATGGCATCTCATAGACAACCCAAGTTAGTGAAAATGTTAGGATTGATCAGGCGGGACAATGGTGAATTATTAAAATCACATATTAAAAGGTTTAAAAGAGAAACAATTATGGTTAAAAGCGATGATGATGAGATGGAAAAATGTATGATAAGTCATGGGTTTCAATTGGGGCCTAAGTTTGCATAAAGCATCACGATTAAGGCCCCAAAAACTTCCTAATAGTTTGTTAGTGAGGTCCGAGAAGTATATGTAATAAGAGGAAAATCTAGTCGTGAGTAAGGCGATATATGGAGAAGGATACGAGGGTCTAGACGAGCAAAAGAGGGACTGAAGAGGAAAAACATGGTATGGAAAAAGAGGTAAAGGTAAGAAAGATTTCGAATGAGCCAAGAAAATAAAACGCACCGCCATCAAGGTATCAAGATTACTCTCCCTTGAAAACATCAAGAAAGTGCATCCTTTAGAAATACATCACCGGTTCGGATAGAAGGACGGGAAGTAAAGCAAATGCAGGGTAAAGACATCGCCTTGGTGAAGGTATTGTGGGGTGGACCAGTTGATGAAAGTTGGACGTGGGAACATGAGGGTTAGATGAGTGAGTCTTATTTGATTTTGTTTCCGCCAGGTAATTTTCGAGGGCGAAAATTCTTTTAAATGGGGGAGAGTTGTAACACCCTAAAATAGTTAGATTGTTTATTTAATTATTTAATTAATTTATGATGAGTATTTGTGACATATTTATGAAGTAAATGTTATCTTGTGATGAACATGATGCTTGATATGATGTTTTGTATGGTGTATGATGGGGGTAGCGAGAATTAAGATGATATTGAGTATTTTTAGGATAATTTGGATAATTAGAATAATTAGTTGGAATTATTTTAATTAGTTAAATAGAATAATAATAAGAGGTAGAGACTATGAGGACAAGGTGGTAATATTTTGATGTAAGTGATGGTAAGATGGGAAGACCATATAAAGGGTCCAAGGGTTAAACAAGGAATATAAGGAAAAGCGTCTAATTCTGTGCGATCGCGAAAGTGAGAAGAACGATGTGAAGAGATCCAGGGCACTGAGGAACTCATAAGGTTATGTAGAATGAGAAGAGGAATCAATTGCTAGGAAGAATCTAAGGTAAGATGAGTTTAACGTTGTTATTATAATCGATCTAAGGTTTAGATAATTGTAGGTTTGTGTTGGGGTTTTGGGATGATGATGTAAATGTGATGATCTGATGAAAATTTATGAATTTGTGAGATTGTTTTCCAATAAATTGAGGTATATGATGCACGATAACTTGTGTTGGTATTGTATGATGAAACTATGTGAAACCATGATGAACTGAGACCTGTAATATGAAGAAATCATGTAAAAATTGGACTGGTGCAGTGCAGAGATCACACTAGGGAATTCTGGTTCACGCTAACTCATCGGGCGAGCATGATGCATCATCGGGCGAAGGAAGTTCTCCCCCGATGCGCTGGGCGAGCATGAGGTGAAGGGAAGGGAAAAAAAATAGAGCCCCTGGACTTTTGTATGAGAGAAGAGGACTCGCTCCAGCTTCACCGAGCGAAGCAGAGGCGAGCTAAGCTCGCCAGGCAAAGGAGACGGGAGGGAAATGCATGCTTCTGGATTTTTATATGGGGGAATACACTTTAAGTTCCAAACTTGTACCAGGGTTGAAGCCTTCTATTTATAACCTTTAATGGACTATATTTGGGCTTCACATACGCATCTGAATATGAAAGAGGCGCTGCAGAATTATCTCCTCAAAGATAGGACATTAATCATTAGTTTCCTAAATTATCTACATAACTAGAAACTAAGAATTATCCTTGAAATCATCTTGAATATTTTTAATCTTTAAACTGTGCCACATAGGATAGCATAATATTTACAAAATATTCTGCAACTGTAACAACTAAAATATCCAACAGTCCAGCTGTACAAAATCACAACGACGAAGGAAACTGCATAGAAAATCACATTCGACATGTTGTTATAGTTGATAGAACATCTTATTTCAACATGTCTATGCTAAGTTAGTTTTATCAAACATAATGCCAATCACAACAAAATAGAGAATTAACAATCTCCCACATTTGGCTTATTTTATCTAAAACAACTTAGTACATCTTCCACACATAAACAACAATACATCTCAGGTTTGAAAAGAAACTCAAACACACAAACAATCTGAGGCACAACAGCAGAAGTCAGTACAATAAATATCAGAGAAAAAATTATTGTAATCTACTCAACACAACAAACAAGAGAATACCAAATTCTCAACATGTCAGGACATCATGTCTGACAAATCTTCACAGCAGTCCAGTCTAGAACAGAAAACCTGCTAAAACTGCTAATTACTGAAGGAGTAAGAAAACACTTAGAAGGGGGGGGGGGTTGAATAAGTGACTCTTTTCGTTCTTTCAAAACAAAGCTCAAAACAATAAAGGAATAACACAGTTATTTTTATCCTGGTTCGTTTGAACTCAAACTACTCCAGTCCACCCGCCAAGGTGATTTCGCCTTTGTCAACAAGGACTTAATCCACTATAATCAACTGATTACAATCACACAACAACTGTTGTGACTAACAATGCACAAGTAAACTTACAAGTGACTAACACCACTAAGACTTAAATCTAGTCCTAGTCTGCTTGAGAAATCTGACCAAACTTGGTCTCTCAAGGAACAAATACAGAAGTATAATCTTTACAGATAATTGAAATAGAGTTTGCTTCTAATCAAGCTATATCACAACTGTGATTTTTCTTAGAATGTAATACACAAAAATGTATGAACTATGAGTTTGTAAGCTTTTGAATCTTTCACGTAGTTTCTTGTTTTTAACGTTCTTATTGGCTTGCAATAAATGTCCTTCTATTTATAGTAGGAGTAATAAGACCGTTACTGCCTTCAGAGGA